TGTCCAATGCCCACCGGGCATATCCGAGCATTAGCAGTATTAATGTTGTCTTTTCTCTTGAAGAGGTTAACCCACTGTATCTTAGTTCTCTATTTTTAGGAAATGTATGAAAGTGTATATTTCCCTCTCGTTTGACCAAAGAATTAAACTCAAACAATACACAATTGGCGGTTATTATGTGACAGCGGACACCAGTTTTCACAGTAGTAACTGCAGTCAAATGAAGGCAGGGGCGTCCTGCGTGAGCTGGGTCGCATTTTGGGTCAGGACTCAGGTGTGGGATGACTTCCTCTGCTATATTCTTTGAGTGAAACAACTAAGCGGATACATCCTAGCGTCCTCTCATGTTCACAAAAAACGTAAAATTGCACCAGGCCGCTTCAAGAAAGCTGCTTTCATTGGTACCAGATATCAAAGTAAGTTCTTTGGTTTTAATATGCCGGGAGGTCCGGGGGTCGGTAGGGATTTAGGTAAGGTTAGGTAGGTTTCTTTGGTTAGGTCAGCTTCTATTAGGTTGCGTGCATTGTCGTATCGTTTTTATTACTTATTAACATCCAAAGAACCTCTGCGGAATAATGAACGAAATCGAACAACAACTCCTGGTGTTAGCAGTATGTGAGACCTTTATCTTTTTACATAATATATTTTTTTAAATGTAGAAATACACTATAATTATTTAATAAAAAGGAATATTAATTTACTTTTAATTTATCATAGGACTGTATATGACAGGCAGCAGAATATTTATTATTCGGACGGGCAGAAGCAAAATATATGGGTCACAGGAATTAGGGTACGGTATTAATTTGGTTTATTTCAGACCCATCTTCAGGTACACTCTAGAGCCAGTACATTAGCTGGTATATATTCCTTGATTACCAGGCAATGCTGGAAGGAGTGAAGGTTTTTTAAATAGTTACCATGTTTAAAATTTTTTTGTGATACAGTTACCGGTAGGACTCAACAGTAACAAATCTTGCCACAACTGCTCTTATTTATATTTATCATTATAACTACTTATCAGTTTACTAGTCGTTCGGGCGACTAATCTGTCCAGTGTTAGTACAGGAGGAAACTTGAGTCTGGGAAACCTGTGGTGTTTGGTAGGGTCACACTGGATAACATCCTTCTCACATGTGTCCTGTCCAAGTAGGACTCGTACCCTTCACATATTGGTGAGAGATACGGGTGTTACAGCTGCACCCTAAACACGCCTAAAAACCCAATCGACACCCAACGTGGAGCTCGAACCCACAACCCCGCTATTAAGAGTCACGTGCTCTACCGACTGAGTTAGCCAGGTGGTCAATTGCTGAGTTATCTGCTCGTTATTAAGCACCATTTAAAATTTCAGAATTAATTACCTATATAGAGTCCACAGTGTTCCTGTAGGGTGGGTTGTACTGGGTATAGCGGCGGCAGATCACCAGAGATGCTGTTTGGTATTTTTACAAGGGGGGAGGGCAAAAGGGTTATAAATTTCAGACAGAACACGACAACTATTTACACAATGTAATATACAAAATATAGAAATATTACTATAAATATTTAAGAAAAAGGAATATAGATATACAACAGGATATTTACTGGTAGGATAATAACCATGTGCCGCTGTTACATCTCGGCAAACATGTCAATGGCTCTGTCATAATTCAGAAACTGGTGCGCATATCCCCGTTCAGTGCTCAGAACAGTCAAGTTTGAAAATCGTCTGGTGACATGGATGATCGGGGGTGAGATTTTCTTAGTTTCATATGACTCAACGATCTTTCAGTACCAGCACTCGAAACGGGAATATTCAAGAAAGTTGTTTTAAATATCACCACATAGGGGAATGTCTGGCAAGATTGGTTGAAGGAGAGAGCGAGGGTGGCTTCAATATCCTTTTCTTGTGTTGCTTCTTCAGCAAGCCGAACAGTGTTACATATTCTTATATGTGACGGGATCCAGATAAACTTGACATGGGTGTCGTCAGGTTGCGCTAACCGGCGACGGCATTTGAGCCTCACTGTCCTCCAAATTACTACCGTGAAACATGAACAACCTATACTCTCCACGTTCCCCCGGACCTGTCAGGCCCTCGGGCTTATCATCTCACTCACTAAAACCAAGTTCATCTCGCACTCCCGGTGTCAGACAAGTACACACCTACAGGTACTGTACCTGGGTCTACCCGCACGTACCTTTTACCAGAGCCACCACCTCCGCTGTCGCCGTCCACGTCATCTCCCAGTGCCGCCAATGAACGTGATCCCTCCAGTCCCTCACCCACGGCCTCAGAAGAGTATCTGTTACTCTGTCAGGGTCGTACGTCTCAGGTACATCACCATCGTCAGGACTTTCAGACATTATGCATTTCCCGTCCTTACAGTTGCCTCGCACCGCGAGAAACAAAGCATTGAAAAAGTCCAAAACAGAGCCATTAGATTCATCCTTGGCTGCCCTACGGCCGCCAGAATAGAAGTCATACAGCGGGGACTGCTGCTGCTCCTCGTCTGCAATCTAATTACTGCCCCCAATGCCATCCTTGGTGTTACACTTCTTTGCAGTGAACAATCGACTCCCCTATAGCGCTCACAGCACTTACATGTTACCACCCTTCTGCACCAGTCTTCCTCATCACCCTTCCTTTTCGACACTGGCCTGGCCACACTGCTACTGACATCCTTCGTTATCTCCTTTACACCGCCTCGACCTTCCCCCCCCCCTCCCCCCCAGCACACTTCTGCCTCTACCACCGTAACTGGTATATTCGCGATTTTTTTTAGTTGTAGAAGATTTTTCTTGTTTTACATTGTAATCAGTACGAGTCAGGTATCGAATATTGAAAAATTAAATATAATACATCTAATTTTAAAATAGCCGATGAAGTTACCATGAGCCCCGCACGAGTCTTGTTTAACATAAAGTTAGTGTTTGTCGCATTATGTGACATCCTTAATAACTCATATCATTGTATCATAGCTGGATGATCGTCATACTCGATTCCGAGTGACAGCAAAGTAGTAGGTGTGTGTGTTGTCTTAAAACACTACTGTACGTATAGCATCATTCTCACCAGTTTAAGGTCTCTTTGCCATATGTTTTTAGTTACTACATTACAGTAGTTTTATCTTTCAGTTTGTTTGTATTTATTATATTATTTTATGTTGTATCTAAACACTATTTTCTACTTCACAGTATTTCTGAAACACCTGATTTGTGTCTTTAATATTCTGAACAATTTGTTCCAACCCTTTAGTATGGTTGGACATGGAAATTAAGAAGGAAAGAATTAAAAAAAATTTAATCTACAAATTCTTGACAACTTTGGCACAACTAAAAGGGTTTGAGAAAAATATGTATGATGAAAAACTCGGAAGCCTAAACGTTTGATTTAATGTATAAAAAAATCCAGTGAGAAGATAGGAAAAAAAAGACTGGCGCTGAGGCGAATTGTCGAAAAATCACTGAACGATAATAACAAGACATTTTTATTAAATTCTCAGTGGTTCGTCATAGCTAAAATCAGACGGTTCTCTTATTGTGTTTTATAAATTTGCAGGAGTACCAAAGGCGCGGAGGGTACGATCTTATTTTTTGTTTCTCGGTAATTAAAAGTCAAAGAATTCTTGCTTACTATTGTTGGTTGTATTTAAATATTACGCCCGAGTTGCATCATAAAATTACACATATGAATTAAGCGATACGTAGCCACTTTTTTAGTTTTATTTAATCAATAAAATTCACCAAAAATACCATTATTCGAATTGGTAACGAAATATATAAAAAAGGAGCTTAAAATCAAATATCATCGTTTTCTTATAATTTTGGAAATTAAAAGTTTCTCAACTATTTCGAAACAGGTGTATTATGAAATAATAGTTATCTCAATATGCGACACCTGATTCGTAACATTTGGAAGATAAACAACTTTTCATCTAAAATAAGAATTCACAAATCCATTAGTCAGCGCCATGGAGTCGAAGAGTGTGGCCAACTCAGTCACTAACTAAAGAAACTTCTTGCCACCAGACAACGCCATGTTTCCCTAACCTAACCTGTGCTACCTAAGCTCTGGCTACTCAGCCATTGACACAAAGAGCCAAAACTGCAGAGCAGGTTCAGAATAATGTAAAACTTCACAGCAAAAGTAGAGGTGGTGGTTGGTTGGTTTCAAAATAATATGACATTAATGGTTCAGTTAGCACTCTTGCTCCCACTCACTGACACTAGGAAGCAAGATGGCGCGTGTTGTGAGGTTTGTCAAACTCTTCTACTCTATGGCGCTGGTTAGAATGGGAAAAGAAAGTAAACTTACCAAAACTAGAAATAAAGAACCATTTCCTCTAATGAAAGCGGTGCAGCCTTCTATAGATGGAGAGAAACTCAGTAGATTGTACAGACTAAATTGTCTGCTAGAAAAACCTTTTATAATACTTGTGGTGTAATGGTCAGCATGCTCGTCTCGCAAGCGAGTGGACCCGTGTTCGATCCCCGGGCAGGGTGAAACTAGGTACAAGTTTCTTTACGCCATTTGCCTCTGTCTACCCAGCAGCAATTGGGGACCTGGATGTTAATCGATTTGCGGATCCTGTTCCGGGGTAATGGTTAGCCATTGCAGTAGGCGAGTTGTCCGGTTTTCTCGGACTGTTCCTTGACACTTGGTCATGCAACTCGTTAACTTAGGGTGTTGTTGTTGTGTTGGCGACAGCTTTTACACTTTAAACCAATGCACGCCTAGGTGGTCCTAGGGCCAGCCGTCCTCGATTTCGAGGAGCAACCATTATATATAAATATAGTACCTCCACTACCCCAGATCGCCACCTCTACCACATACACTTAGCGTTTTGGTCATAATCTCTAAGACTAAGAGATAGTGTGCCATTGCATTACATTAGTAGAAACATCAACACAGTGGAAGGCCAAGTGTTCATAACATATAATTTGTAATTAATTCGAATGTACAGCAGTTGGCAACTACGGTCAGCGTATAGCCTAGTTTATGTTTTTCTTTAAAGCATCGATGGGTCTTCCTTCACCTCAAAGTCTTCTTCCCGCGGGTACGTATCCCTCCTCTTGTCAGCTTCACTTTCTCGTATCCCCTACATCTTGGCTTTCGTTGGATCCATCTTGTAAGCTTTATCTAAGTATCCCCCTTTCCTCTTGTCTTTACAAAACTTACTCACTCTCTTGTAATCTCATCACATATCACTTCCTTTTTGTAAGTTTCAAGCACGTAAACATCGAGTTCTCGCTTTGTCATCGTTATCACGATTTTCCTTGCTTGCTAACTTATTTTTTAGCGGGCTTTCAGAACATTGTATCCAGCTACACCTGCCCGTATATTTGCTAGTTGCTGTAAATCGTTTTTGCTCTCATTTCTGTCATAGATATTTGACAGAATATTTACCTAGTTAGCGCCTATTATTATTATCATTCTTGTTATTGTATTATTTTCCTATACACTAGGCCCTCATGTTCTCGCTGCTCCCCATACGTTCAGCAGTGGCAAAGACTGTGTTGATATCAGCTTTGTAAACATAAGCATTTATACGTTTTTACGAATAGCAATTTTGTAATTTTGCATCGGTCAAGAAGGTAAGCCTAGTTTACTAGTTTACCAACTCAAGTATACATCTTAAAGCTCTAGCAACATTTATGCAACCAAAGTCACCCACATTGCGAATAAAACAAGCATGTATAGTACAGTAACATCAACAACTTAATATTACTTCTATTTGTCCAGATGTTTAAGGTTCCATCATCATTTTCCCATTTCTGTCTCCCTGAAAACATCCTCACACGTATATATGGTATAAGTAACCCACCACCAGTCCCACATGACCGTGAGTACTTCCCCTACTACAACCTACATACTCACATACCCCTGAGTACCTCCCACAACACACACACACACGCCCCAATGAGTATCTTCCCCATTACACACACACTTCGGTATTTATAAACACCCCCATTGTGAACTGACGAGCGTGTGAGTTTAATAGGAACACATGGTAATGTTCTCAGCTATTCAGTGTCAACACACACTAATATGCACTTTTCTCCACACGCACTTTTCGTACAGTCACGTAAGGGTATGTGTTAGACCTCACACTCACCATGTGGTGTCTGAGCTCACTCACGCTGCGGAGACAGTTTAAATGCTTTTGTATTATTCAAATATTTTTGTTTACGACTGAGAATTGTATATGCACCTTAGCTTTTGTCTTTATTCAAGACATCCTCAGAGGCAACTGTGTGATTTTATCAAGATTTATCTTATCCACGTTTTCATTGTGGATCTACATGATATATATATATATATATATAATTTTGAAATTTATCCAGTTGTGTTTGTAATTTTAATAAGAGTGAAAATTTTCATGTTTAACACTAGCCTAAGGAATACACTCTTGTAGTGGTTCAACTATTGAAAAGACAATATTACATCGTTGAAACTCATCACTGTCCGGAACTGGCTGATATGATCGTCCCGAAAACTCCCTAGAATCTCGATTGACAATAGCATCCCTTATCGTACGGAGGTCCAGAATTTAATGTATTTGGTATGGTGATGGCTCAGAAGCATGGAAAATATTGTACGTATTCTCTGGAACCCCTAAAATTTTCTGAAAAGGTGAACTATTCACTGTTTGGAGGGCTCAGTTGAGTACACACACACACACACACACACACACACACACACACACAGGGATTACCATAAGAGGTTAAAATGTGTGGTTCCGCCATACTACATTTATCAACTAATAAAGTTTAGATTTTGCACCGTGGGAATATTACTCTCCGTCAGTTTTCGAATTTTATAGAATTTTGTAGAATCATTATGATGAAAAGCTATGATCAATCATAATTTCATTGGTATTGGATTACAAAGGCACCAAATGTTCACCGAGTAAGAAGAATATGACTTACAGTAGTAGGGTGTGTCATAGGAGGGAAGATCAGCTAAAACTAATGGCCCATCACGTTTTTGGTAGATTTTAGTGTATATAAACAGAAAATAATTTAAGTTTCAATATTTTGCAACCTTTTGCTAGGTAAATTTTAGCGTGAAATTTATCGAAAATCTAACGTACAGCTGCATTAGTGCATTACAATTAAATAGTGAACATTGCTTTCTGACTTCATTCTTTAACAACCCAACGAACAATATTTTTTTCTGTTTCAGATTCTGATGCATTTATAAGTTGATAATATTTGCGATGGCTGCTTGTGTCAGGACGAGGAACCAAAAATCCAGCCATCTCAGTCACTATCTTGGGTCTGGGAGAGAGCTCCTGAAGTCGGAGTTGCCTACATTGAGAGATGCTTTGAGATACGGTGTTTTAATCAGGCAAATCAGTGAAAAGAACCAAAGAACTTACACAAACAAAGACATTGCCAGTGATATGACCAAAGCTGTCTTGGCACAGTACACTCTGGCTAACGCTCAGTTCAAGCCTCCAGTCATAACAAGTCAGAAGAAGATTAGTGAGAGACTGCTAGCCAGTTGGGAAAAGGCAAGAGATATCTCTCTTGGGAGAGGAAAACTTGCAGTTAAGGACAGCTTTGCCAAGCAACTGGACCAGTTATTTGACATAATTACTTGCAGGTGCCCAATTGTTCTCTGTCCTGAGTTTGGATGCGATCGTGACTGTAAATCCGAGGCCCACATCTCCTGTATTTGCAAGCTTGAACTGAAGATTCCTGTGATCGAACTGGCATTTGTCAAAGCACAGAGAGAGAAGACTGGCAGTATAGGGGCTCTCATGATTTCTAGCCAAGATATTCCGGAGTCCAAGAGACAGGAGGCTGCCACAGAGAGACAGAAGAGGAGAAGAGTTGCCGAGGAAAAGAGACTTGAGAAGGCCCAGGGTGAGGTAAAAAAGGCCGATGATTGGAGTCAAGCTGATTCAGAGTTTAATGACTTCCCCATGGCTGATCCGAGTGCTGACCAGGAGAATGGTGACTTTGTCCCTAACCCAGAAAATAATGATCCCAAACCTTCCAGGCATAAGATTCGAAATAGGAAAGATATCCCGAGCATAGCTCTGGCCAGCATGCGACACCACACTGGTCTCAGAGAAACTGCAGAGATAGCAACAGCTGCCTGGATTGACGGTGGTTTGATAACACCTGATGATGTTCACCTGGTGATAGATCATAACAAAGTAAGGAGAGCTCAGGAGAAACTTGTCAGTAACCTAGAAGAGGAGTTTGATAAGGGGATAAGAGAAAATGGAATCAATTGTTTGTTCTTTGATGGGAGAAGGATGACACTAAAGTGTTCATGAAAGTTGGAGATTCTGACAAGTTGTTCCCTGCCATGGTGAAGGAGGAACACTACTCCTGCTGCAGTGAACCAGGAGGGAAGTATTTGTGGCATTTCACTCCAGAGAAAGATGACATCAGGAAACCAGCTGAGATAGTGGCAGATAACATTGTGAACTGGCTCAGAGAGAGGAACGTAGACCAGACCCTGCAGGCCATTGGAGGGGACAGCACCAACACGAACACAGGGTGGCAAGGGGGGGTCATACAGTGGATAGAGCGGAAGATTGGGAGGAAGCTGGTCTGGATTGTTTGTGACCTCCACACCAACGAGTTGCCACTCAGACATCTGATCCAGGAGCTGGATGGCAAGACTCTTTCAAACAACAGATGGTCTGGTCCTCTTGGCAAGATGCTGGACTCTGCCACTGAGTTAGAAATAAATCCGAGCTTTGAAAAAATCACAGTTGGCCCTCCACTCGTTGAGCTTGCACATACTGTCATTGACGACCTGAGTACTGACCAGTACTATGGTTACATGATTTGCAGTGCCATCAAAACTGGGGTCATGCCTGATAGACTTGCTTACCTGCAGATAGGTCCAGTCTCACATTCTAGGTGGCTCACAACGGCTCTCAGGTTCTGCAGAATTTGGGTCGCTCATCATAAACTGAAAGGGAACCAGCTTCACAACCTGAGACTTATTGTCCAATTCATCGTGAGTGTCTGCTTGCCAAATTGGTTCAACACCAAGGTCAAGTCATCGTTCTCCGAAGGTCCGAGGCATGTTCTCTTCCAGCTTGAGCTCCTGAGGAGTCAGCCAAGGATTGTTCAGATTGTGGAGCAGACTGTGAGGAGATCTTCCTGGTATGCTCATCCCGAGGCAGTTCTGCAGACAATGCTCTGCAGTAAGGATGAGGAGGAGAGAAGAGTGGCAGTCAAAAAGATCTTGGATATGAGACTTATGAGAGGATCTGGGCATGACGAATCAGTTGGTGACGATTCCTTCAGGGTCAGGAAGACTCCTGAAGTCAATCTAGGTGCCAAGACCCTCACTGATCTCATAGATCTGAGTAACATCCAGGCTGGCAGTGAGCCCCCTCTTACCTGCAGCCTCACCAATGTTCAAGTCAGAGTTTTCCTGGACAACCCCATGCATGTCCCTGCCTGGCCCTCGCACACCCAGAGTATAGAGCGTTGTGTACAGCAAGTGAGCGAGGCCAGCAGTCACGTGTACAGCCAGGAGAGGAGGAAAGGCTACATCCGAGCTCAGGTGGTCAGCAGGGAGGTGATGAGTAGAAACAGAAGCAAGAAAGACATGTTCTCTATGGTGTGCAGCAACACCGGGTCGTAGTAGTAAAACCGGTTTTTGTATTTGATGATTTTGTTTTCTAAAGGAATATTAAATTTAATAAATGTGTCAAGATCATTCGTTTCACTATTCTGGATCATTTTCATCCTAATAAATTAACCTGATACATTTACTTTACTTTAAATAAGCTATTTAGTGGTGTTGGTAAAAGGGTGGGAATACTGAATTTTCATAAGATTTCAAGTTAAAATTTACCTAGCAAAAAATTAAAACTTTTCAAATCTGAAGATATCACATGATTCTGCACATAGAACTACATCATTAATACCATGGGCCGATTTTTCAAACTCAAAAAAAAAAAATTCGCCTCCGTATGACACACCCTATTACAGTAGTAGTTAATGTTGATAACTCTCGCCGTCACCATCACCCGCCTCACTAATGCCGCAACTCTTGAGAGTTTGTCTGGGGTGTTTCTTGATGTGTAGTGGATATCTGGATACAACAATATGTTCGAGTATTGTGAACATAATATTGTACATGACTGTATGTTCGTGTGTGTATGGATGTGTATATTAGTGATTATGAGTGTGTATGTATGTGTGTGAGTATTTTCCTAATATTTAGAGCAGTGTGTGTGTGTGTGTGTGTGTGTGTGTGTGTGTGTGTGTGTGTGTGTGTGTGTGTGTGTGTGTGTGTGTGTGTGTGTTTGTCATTTTGAATAATATTTTTGTCCAATTGATAGTTGTAAATTTTTGTCATTTTATATTATATTAATACTATTGTGATATTTTGCTGCAGGTAACTTGACGGGATGTTTGCTGGCGCCTCAGGAGATGGATTACCTCCGGAAGGAAATAGTCAGCAGCCTGCGGAGTGAGCTGCGGGAGTTGCTGAGGGAGGCCCTGGCACGCGCCCTCACGCCCACGACCACTATGGCCCCTCAATATTACTCGCCCACAACCACCCCAAACCCCACCCCACAATATGCTACTACACCTACCGCCCAAACTGCCCAGATGGCCGCCCCACAGTTCCCCCTACCACCGGTGGCGCAGCAGAAGCAATGCGGGCAATGTCCACCCGCCTCTGGACCTCAGTACTCCCCGCCCTCCCCAACCTCTCAGCCGCCTCAACACCCCCACCTCCGAGTAACAACCTCTCTCAGTGACCCAGTTTCTCAAAGGTCAAGTTCTGGTCCACAGACCTCCCCTAGGTCAAGTCCAGTTCCTCAGTCCTCTCCAGGGTCAAGTCCAATACCCCCACCTTGCCAGAGGTCAAACTCCAGTTGCGGATTAATTCAGAGGTCACAAGGAAGCTCCCAGTCTGGCGGCTCGTCGAAGTCATCTACCAACCAGGTTCTTCTCCGCCCACCTAACGAGTCTGACCGTGTACACACGCACATGTACACACAGCTGTGAATGTTCACCTCCTCGCTGGTCATGGTACACAAATATTCCTGTTCCAGGTGCTCTTATCTTTAAAGCACGTGCGGCGCTTGAGCTTAAGGAGCGTCAGGCAACCAATCAAAAGCCTGGTGATTTTCACAAGTACAATTTGATTGGAGTCAAGTTCCTTAGGTCAGCTTAAAAGTGCCATCCCAGGGTGTAGGCGGCTGCATAAGACCAAATTGGGTTGGTCCCCTTGGTCTAGGATAAAGCCAGCCTGTAGGAAATTAGATTTATCGCCTTTCGTGCGGATGCCAGAAGGTGTTTTGAGATTTCTGAAATATGGCAATCAAAGCAAGACAAGAACCATCAGGTGATGCTTAATCAACGTTAGTAACTTGGTTAAGGAGAGAATGGACGGTTATCTCATAATGGTTTCTGGCTCTGGCACGCCTGCGGTCCTGGTGAAGAGGTGCCAGTGTTTGGAAAGAGATATTTTGTTGACAGTCAGACACACATTATTGTTTGGCTGCTGCCTGATGCTTTTTTATAACATTTCACTAGGTGCAAGGGCGCCGGTCTGCCCTCTCCGTATTTATTTTTGGTGATGCGTCGAGGCTTGTTCGTGGTATAAGAATAATATTGTATGCAGCACAGTTGAGTTAAAAGTGTTGTACTAAGTTGTTGAGGAGACAGGAGAGACATTTGGTCCTTTAAAATTTGTCCCATAGCAGAGTGCTGCTAGGAGGACCGTTGTGAGATCTGATGTAGATTTTCGGTTGTTTGTGAAGATGTTTTTTTTTCTTTTTGCACCAGATGAGACAATGGTGGTTGAGCAATAGGAGAAGAATGAATGTTTAGGAAAATGAAGTGGCATTATTTTACGTATATGAGACAAAGGTTGGTGGAGGGTGACCACTGACACAGTGTGGTGGAGAGAGTGACTGTCTGTTTGTAGCACGAAATTGTTGGGAGACATAGAGAGGGCGCCTGTTAGCAGAGCTGTTGTTATTGATGAATAGGCAATGAGTTCCCCACCAGAATGTTTTCTCGTGTAAATAATATATATATATATATATATATATATATATATATATATATATATATATATATATATATATATATATATATATATATATATATATATATATAGTATGCTTAAAAATTAATTGCTGTTAAACTCTCTATTGTGACTTGACTGCCATTGACTGGGGAAATGGCAAAGAATCAAATTTTACAATGTTTTGATGTTCACATGTAATTATAAGTTTTTTTGAGCAAGGTGGACACTTCTGACTGATGATGATATGTACTAACTTAACAAGACAAAAAGACAGAGCCTGAGGGAGTAATGTACTGAACAAGGACAGTAGACTGAGAACACTTCAAATATTTTCCACCTCATGGTTCTGCTGAAGGTGTTAGCGTGCATGAAACTTTAGCTTAAAGGTTTGTCACTAAATAAAATGTATGAATAATTGTTTAAATTTACAAAACAGAGAATCGGAACACCTGTAATACTCGCATCATTGTAATTGATAATCTAACATCAGATGTTGTTCACTTATGATGCAGAATCATAACTAACATTAGAAAAATAATTGGTTGTTTATTCACTTCTGTTTTAACATATTGTTCTAAAAATAATAGAATGTATCATCATTTCCCCATAAACAAACTGACTACAACCTTTATTCATAACACTCCGTTAGCAATTTAATTTTCATTATTTGGTCGTCAGTTTGGGGACGTGAAGTTGCCAAGTAATATGTCTTGAGGGAACTTGTGGCGGAGGTGGAAGGTGATTCATTGTTCTGACGTCGCCCATTTATTTAGCTATTTCTAATTAACTTAACTGTAATGCCAAGTGTAACATCCTCTCTTCCCTAGAGCTTCACTGTTGTTACATTATTCTTACACAAATGCAATAGTTGGATGAGTCAAGTTTTTTCCCTGATACATTTCACTGTCCTCAGTTGATCTATTACATTAAGCGTTGAATGTTTACAAGTTAGATGATAGTGTTAAATCTTAAGTTTTGTTTGTGGCTTCCATTTGTTACATGTAAGGCTTCAGGCTATACTTAACTCATTAATATACCGTCACTATATCATTTTATAGCAATTGTTACAACACACATAGAGTTAAGTGTGAGCATGTAGCCCGCAATATAAACAGTAGGTGAACTGGTGTCCAGGTAAGACTAGGCTGTTGCACCACACACAACACACGGCTATGAGTCTCACCTTCTGAGTTCAAACTGACTAACATCTTGCTAGATAATTTATCCAAAACAAAGAACATCTGTGCAGGATGGCTTCCTGGTCTCTCTCAACTGTCCAGCTGATCGGCCTCAGCTGTGAAAAGATAATAATTGAAAATTCCCTGCAATTTTGAGGGAATAATTTAATTCTGGACGCTATTCTTTGAGCGTTACTTACAATCAACCCCCGACATTTCACCTCATTTATGTGAAGTTGTGATTAGAATTTATAAATCCTGTACTGTACATTCTTTGTTATTCTAAATTTGTTGTCTAGCAAGAATTACAGATGAACTGATGATTTCTTTAGGTCGGAATCACGGCCTCTTCTCTCTTGTGGTGCAACATTATAGCAAGTATCCAGGTGCCAGGTTAAACAGTAGGAAGATGCACCTAGCCGTGAGGTGACACGGGCCTGAGTACTGTCTCTCAAGTGGCATTAGTCTTATTATTATACAGAGATATGTTAATGATCAACAATTCCAATCGTTATTCTTGCAAGAAATATATTAATATAGTAATGGTTCATTATATATATATATATATATATATATATATATATATATATATATATATATATATATATATATATATATATATATATATATATATATATATATATATATATATATATATATCCAAAGCGTTCAGAACGAGATATAAGAGCCACAATTTGTTATGTTTGGTTAAGGTCAGCCACAATGCGTTGAGTCTGTTGCATTTCGCTATCTGAGCGTTTAAGGCAATTGACCCTAACATATAGATATACACACAAATAATAGCATAAGTACCGGCCACGTGGTCGCTGGTGCATGGCAGTATCAAAGAATCACAAACTTACAAACGTAATAAGCATTGCAAACTTCTTGATACCTCTTGTAACTACCATAATCGACTCCGCCATCTTGTGTAAGTTCATCATCATCACAGTCAGGCAACACGTAAAGGACGATACTAAGGTATTGCTTAATCCTCACAAGAAGCGAATGTCGTCACTAACACAGGCAGAATATTCTACAGGTACCATCCTCTTTTAACGGTTTAACCCTTCATTATGTTACAAATTGAAACTGTTCAGGTGTCAGTTGGAGCCGTTTAGACGTTTGTTAAAAATAATCAAATAATCATCAAATTGCGGACTCAGGAATCAGTTCTTCACTTCCGTTTGAATGTATAGCAGGAAGGATTCAATTTTCATAATAGATCCTAATTTTGGTTTCCATTGATCAGGTAAAGTAGTTCCATTCATCATCGATTTCAAGTACAGTACTTACCGGATATCTGAGGTGTGTTGGGAGGGGGAGGTGGCAGTGAGGTCCTACACAGCAGAGGATCAAGAGGTAGTTCATCACGGTATTTTCAGCAGTTATCAGCATTTATCAATGACCAAATATTAGTCTTTCTACAGTATAACTACTCTCACTCTTAAAGTGCCTCAAGCATTTCCATTTATTGTTCATTATATACAGCCTCAGTCTGTAGCTAGATGTATGGAATGCCTCGGAGCATTTCAAATATAAGATTGAGATTAAAGTCGGCAAAAAGATGTGAAAAAAATAAGATATGGAATTTGGAAATTAAATACTTTATTGACAATAAAACTATTACATCAAAATGACAGGATAGTATACTACTCCCACCCTCACCTCAAGGTATGGAGAAAGTCCGTGGCTAGGGATTGAGCCTCTGTCAGGTGTTTCTTGCACAAGTCGGTCTTGACCCGAAGTAATTGTTTAATTGTAAAACGTTAACATTTGACTATTACCATCACTCGGTATCCGTAGTCCACTCAATAGTTGCTTGGGAACTCTTAAACAGTTTACTGAAAAAAATTTAGTTAATTTTCTTTGCTGATTTATGTTTAGAGTTTCAACAACTTCAGCGTGTCCGAAGCTCGAGAGTCTAAAGAAAAAAAAAACAATAACATTTAGTTTCGAATCTGAACCTGATGTTTCCTATCTGTGGACAGATTCCCTTGGATCTGTATCTGAGATTCAACTACTCAAGACTAGAACGATTAATATATTGAAAAATATTTTACGCTAAAACTCGGTCTTACAAATATAATAAGCGATACTGAGCATATTTTTTGTCACAATTCTGCATTGCCTTCCTCCTGAACTACTCTATATTGCAGTAAGTGTGTTTTATAACTGTTCAGACAACTGTGTTTGTGAGTAACGGACGAATACGGGCAACCATTGTTTAAGTAAGATTTTCATGTGTGGATCCCTCATTATCAGTGAATTCAAACTAGGAAGTATACATGGTTGGTGACGGATATTTTGTTCTGTATTTCAAATTGTATTTTGAGAGATGAAAATACTTCGCTCAGATGTCCAGACAAGTTATTGTGGGATGAGGGGATCAAGAGGGAATAGTCTCACCATAACTACTGACACTACCCATTCACATTATTAGCAGCTCTAAAGTAAAAGTTCTTGTGATAAGTTTAATATATAGACTCATAAGCGCGCGGGTAATTTACAAAGAAACCTCCAGAAGCAACATCAGTTTGAAGGAAATTTTGCATGTGTAGGATGACAACATGTGAGAGAGGCCCGAGTTACACATAACCTAAAAATTTAATATCACCTTCTGTGTAACAGCAGTTCTAACTTCAGATCCGTTCCTGGATGTAACAGATCATATATAAGGGGGACTAACATTTATTGAAAAGCTTACATGTCAGAAGTTTTACTAAGAAGCTATAGGTCACGAATCAGTTAGTGATTGCAACCACGTGTTAATACTATATCAAAAGAACTGCTTAAATTATGGTAGCATGTCTGGTTATTCCCTCGGATAAGAGTTTCTCATTATGTTCATTTATGTAAATCAAATCTAAATACACAGCTGTATAGAACACTACTGTTTCAAGTACAACCAAAAACTTCTGGCAAAGATACTAATATATGAGGATAATTATATTCTCCCAAATAGTGATAGCCAGATGCAAACAGGGTAGAACAAAAAAGCTAAGTTTGTTACTGGAAAAAAAAATATGTTGAGCATCACACCCCTGGTTGAGTGTAACAGAGAAGGACCGAGGATGTTTGTAGGGACTCGAGTGTCATAAATCATTACAGGATAAACTATACATCCCTTTGTTTAACACTGATTAGTAAATATATACATCACGTAACTTACATATTACAGTATAGTTAAAATGAGTGGTGGTACTGTAGCTGAACACTGACCTGACAATGGGTGTTTGGAGAAAGGTTACAATTATTTTTTTATTTCTGTGCACATAAAGGCACAAGCATGCACTTAAATATATATGCATGAAAGTGAAGAGAGCACATGTGAGTGTATATAGATGTATACAACATATTGTGTATGTGCAAACATGTACATGCATATTTGCACACACAGGCAAGGAACCATGGATAGACCTTTATTTCACTGTAGGTATATATGACTGGAAAGTAAGTTTGGGGTTCCTACAGCTCTCTGCCCCTTGAAGTGAGGAAAAATTCAAGTTGGCTTCCCATCATTTATTTTTATATGACTCACGTTGAAGGCACGAAAAAGTAGGTATCACATTCAATGTACAGTAGTGTAGTTTTATTTCCTCCATTTTACCATTGATTTTGATAATATGAAGGGAGAGACCAGCTTTAATATGAAGATGCCCCACCCCCCCTGTTTCCACTACCGACAGCTTACAGGCACTCTCTTTATAGTCCAGTTTATGTAGGAAACAGGAGAGGCTACCTTGGCTGTATTACAGGTATGATACTTTCTAAAACCACACTTTGAATTTTTGTATTAACGTGCTTCAACAGCTAAGGTCTTTAAATACTCATCACAAACATAATTTTCTACACCAGTATAAATGTTGATGCCCTTACGAATTAATGCCCTTGAACACATAAGTTTCATAGCGCGTACTCGTAAAGCTATACAATAGATTTTAACAACCAAAATTCGTGAGCGTGACAAAATCTGGATTGTTGATTAATAAACTGTATGCTTTACTATTATTATCATTTATATGTCATGCATTGATTACTCAGATGTTGATGCATGTTATAATGGTCTATATAGTCTATATTCTCTTACGGTTCATTGATGAGGAATTGTTACTGTACGAGGTGATGAATGACGAGTACAGTTTAAGAGGAATCACGGTATGTTATCAAACCTTCTTATCATTCGCATATTTATGTATTGCTTTTAAAGAAACATGAGAGTATTTTTAGTGTCATTTTTTTGAGAAAGGTTTATTTCGCTAGTAACTACATTAGACATGGATATCATTAAGCCTTCATCAGCACAGTAAAGCAATTTTTTTTTGCAATATTTAGATAAACAGTCATAGCCTAAGTAATGATTATAACTAGCAGTGAACAAATCTCTAGTATTTTAGATTATGCCTTAAATCCTGAAGAGAAAAGAAACAGCAAACGACGCCTTAGAACAAGTCACTTTTTCCTTGTTGATAAATAATTTTTCCTCTGCTCTTAGCTAATATATATTCCTGTAGAATTCTGGTCATTAAGAAAAAATCCACAAATGTGAACAGATGTATATTGTATAAAATTTGTTTTGATTTGTGGGTTTATTGTCATAGTATCACAGTCTGACTATCTCATATATAAATTTCATCAGTTCCATAAAGACTCATGTAGTGTCAAAGATTGTAGGGGATATTTGTACTTCTGACACAACTGTATAAGGTTGAGGTTTGCATGTCCATAGATGCGGGTCAACTTGAGAAATACACATGTTATAAAAAGCTTTTTAGAATAAATAAAAAAATGTATATTTTTTTTACTATCCATACTGTATCTTTATGTCCTCTGATAAGAAAATAACCTGTGCACTGGACGGGGTTTGTATGCGTCTAATTGCACAGTAGAAGTTGGCTATATGGATAAAGATCCAATTTTCAGAGATTTTCCCCAAGAACTCACTGTTATAAAATTCACTATTAATAAAGAGTACTGAACTCTTGGAATTAATCTGCGAGAGAATGTGACAGTACCGGGTGAGAACTCATGTCCAGACTTAATCAATATACTGGAACATGTTCAGTCTTTTGCCAACATTGCTGAACAGAGAACTGACTGAACACTCGACGGTTAGTGAGCTGGTAAGTGGTGAAGTAAAGTATTCTTTCCGGCAACAAACTACTTGCTTTAAATTTTGAAAATCTAATCATTCATAACTAAGGATTTATACATGAAAAGAGTGTAAATTATATACTGTACCAGCCTACTATGCTTATTGTATTCAAATTGTTTCTCTGCACTGTATTGTCAGATATCGATTCACTAAAATATTTTTAATCTTGTCAGGATTTATTTTATTCTACATCTGAGCACTACCGCCTCCAACGCCGTGAGACGCAAAGGGCCTCCTCATACTGGGACTTTGGGATAGAAATCCCTTACCAGACTAATCAGGTTCTTAATTAAGGAAGGTCAAGGACCATGGTTTTCTGAGGAATAACAAACAACCGTTTGAGATTGACATCTCTTTACTATAAAAAATATAACACAAAACTCTGACACCACTCAACAAACATCAAATAATTACGGGAGTCAAACAATTAATGCAGTCAATAGTTAATGGAGTTAATCAATTAAGGGAAGCAAAGAAACATAGAATCAAACAATGAACAGATATTTCCTATGGCAGTGGCCCTGGGGGAAGGTTCTGGAACACTGTGATTTGCACACTCAGGGTAGGGAAGCGTTCATTCAACTCCACACTCGAGCAACGTCTTGAAATGGCAGGAGAACACAGGGGCACAGACGGAATGAGATGAACTGACAGTCGTGGTATGTGGTAGTGGTAGATGTCCAGAGAATTGACAGTCGATAGGTGAAGGTCTGGGGACACAGCCCACGAGTCCAGGACCTATGATGAGATCACAGCCAGAATTTGACGAACAGCGGGGTAGCTAGATAGTGACTGTATGGCGGCTGGGTTGAATCTGCCGGTGACCCAGATAGTCGCTGCCGTTCTCACCTCTGTCCAACCGCCCCAAGTGTCGTCCGCACCAGTAAACGAGAGAGTTAGCAGCGGTCACGAGCAGGAAGATCGTTTCCGCCCTTACACCAGCCATTTCGATCTTGAGCCCTTTCCATGGTTGTATTTAACTCGTCCTCCGTCTCCCTTCTTATAGTTCGGATTCATGGAGGCCTTGGTCTTCCTCTTCTTCTCATTCCGTCCACTCTCCACTCTACCGCCTCTCTCAATACTCTATACGGATTCTCACACGCAGAACATATCCCAGCCACCTCCATCTATTCTTCATCAGCCATTCATCGATATAGGGAACATTTGTAACTTCGCTTATCGTCTCGTTTCTAATACGATCACGCCATCTTATGTTCAAGATTCTTCTCAATGCCGTATTCTCGAATGTTCGGAATCTTCTAGATAAAGTATCATTATCATCATACCAGGATTCACTTCCGTACACCAAAACGGGTCTTACCAGTGAAGTATATAATCTCAGTTTGGTATGGACTGTCAGACTATGTGACTTCCACACTTTGCCCAGCATACCCATAACCTCTTCTTATTCTGTCCTGAAACTCATCTTCAAGTGATCCATCGTTTCTGACGAGTGTCCCCAGATACTTGAAAACAGGAACTTCTTCCATAATTTGGTCCTCCACCTGAATGTTCCCTGCAATTTCTTGATCTGTTTTCATAACCTCTGTTTTTCTAACAGTAATCGTTAATCCAGCTCCTTTTCCCTTTTCCTCCAGTCTGCTAACCATAGTTTGCAAATTGTGAATGGATCTGCTCATCAGTAGTACATCGTCTGCATAATTCAAGTCTGCGAGGAATTTATTGTCGACCCATTCGATTCTTTCTCTTTTATCGCCCACTGTCTCTCTCATTACGAAATCAATAAGTACAACGAACAACAATGGAGACATAACATTACCTTGCAGCACCCTCACTCTCGACATTGAATTCTGGGAAAAGTTGGCCATCAACGTTCACACGACATCTGCTTCCCTTATAAATTTATTCTATCAAACGAACGTATTTTAATGGCATTCCATAGTTCTGTAAGAATTTTCCACATAGTTGGTCTATGGACACTATCGAAGGCTTTATCAAAATCGACAAAAGCCATTATCAACGGTTTTCTGAATTCCACACTCTGCTGTATTAGGTGACGCAATGCGAATATATGATCACTGCAGTTTCTTGATTTTCTGAACCTGCCTGGTTCATCTCTTAGCCTTTGGTCTAAGGATTCTTGACCAGACAGACCCGATAGAAAACCTTCGATACTCTTCCTGTTAATGTTATCCCTCTCCAGTTTCCACACCGGGGCAACCTCAGTGCTCCATATTTCTTGAAATAGCTTTAATAGTACTTGAGATGCACCATTCGCGTCGGTTTTCAGCATTTCTCCAGTTACTCCATCTATAGACCCGGTGCCTTCCAATATCAATTGTTTTAGTGCCCTTTCAATTTCCCTCAACGTAATGACACCCATATATGAGTACTAGACTACTAAAACCTTGAGTCATATACGCAAAACATTTACCAGAGTTATTACATTGACACTATTAACGGAGATGCCACGAGAAAAAAGAAGCAACATAATCGGCCAAAATTAGTTGGAAATATTTACTGTTGGTTAGGCATCGCACTGGCTACTTTAGACCACCTGATGGCCCATGGGACTCAGACAGTATGTGATGAACGACCTGCCCCCGTGAATATAAAACACTTGGTGGTCAAGTGTCCCAGTCCGGGGGGACCTTAGGAGGCAGCATCTCTCCAGGATTTGAGGACGGGATGGTGACTACCGCCTCTCCTGTATTCTCGGAGCATATGTCCCATTTTCAAAGGATGGAATTTTTAAGTTTATCAAGAAGGCTGAATTCTCCTGAATGTAAAACGGTTTGTATTTATAATCATATGTGTAGTTACATCTATATGTATTTATTCTATCTATATTCTTTAGTTAAAATATTTTTAAATATAAAAAACTTACCCTACATAGTCCCCCCCCCCCGCCAGCATCAAGTGGAGAAACCCCTTGGGGTAATGAACACCAAGTAGGGAAATAATACATAAACAAAAGACTTTTTACGTTTATTGCAGAACTAAAACACGACGCCAGATATACTATTTACAAATCAAGCAATCCATAACATTACATTAGCTGTCAGCTTGTGGGATTATCCTCGCTTATATGAGGTAAGGGTAAAATATACTCATCATATAATTTCATATTAATAATACACTAAAGAGCTACAACTTACGCTTGTCCAATTTCATAAAAAAACACATTTAAAATATTTTATTGGAAGACAAGAAGCAGGTAGTCTCACTAGGTAGTGGTGGTGGTATTTGTGCGCGGCACTGGAGGTTTGTTCCTCCAGTAGGGCCGTGGCACCAAGCGAGGCAGGTCATCAATGAACGGCTCCTCACCTCCAGCAAACCAGACGCTCTTCTCAGGCGACAAGTTCGTCGACCATTGTGCATCATGGGCAACTCCCTCTTGAGACGGTGCATCGGTATCTGTCAAATCGTTCCCTGAAGAGTCCTGGTTGGCCAAACCTTCCCTGCTATTGGAAGGAGCGACATTTCCTTCAGCAGTCTCCAGTGTCGACCACTCCCTAATACCCAGTTGGAGTTCGACGTCCAAACTACTTGCAGTGGCAGCCATACTCCGTTGTTGAGCTCGCCTGAGGATGAGATCAAACTCGGGTCGTCTGAGGGCGCCAAGGACGAAACGTGGGCCAGTTGCTACTGATTCTGTAAGAAAACCGAGTTATAAGACTGAATACACATGATCCAAGTAATTTTACTGTCTGAACTTCCAGTTATTACCAATTAAAAAAAAATTAAATGCAGGAGGGTGGTAACACTAGTAATTTCTTTCTTAATGGTGCTGGTCATGTGGGGGATGTTGACTTGTTAAATGGTTACTGAATGATTACATAATTGTTCCATAGTTTTGATATAATCTCGCTTAAAGGTTAACTTCAAACCCATTTTATTCATTGTTAAGTTTTGATATCTTCTGTGAGGTGAATAAAAATGTCATTATAGTTACACATAAAAAGTGTGTTCAACAAAATTGTGACATATATATTTACTCAAGTATTTACGGATTTTTGAAGATACGTTCATTTCTTATCCACTGCATCGATTTACGGACAAAAATTCCGGAGTTACGAAGTTTTCACATTATTTCTGAAACATCGGGAGATCCTGAGGTACTGGTATCGGCATCTGGGAGCATACTCCACAGAACAATAAAAATAAAGAGTTTTTTCGACCCTTGATATGTGTATCTTCACTTTTCAAGAGTTTATAGTATATATTCAGAAAAATCTAGATACCGTGCACGTAAGGATATTGGGGAAACAAGAGTATTTTACAACTAGCATGTCTAGGCGATGACAGTGGTTGAGAACTGGGTACGGGTACTTAATTTATTCTAAAATGAAACTAAAAAAAAACTAGGGGATGTTCTGACTTTCGTTTCTCTGATTCTACTTCACCTCGACCACAGCACACAACACCGAAGACTCTAGCACAGTTGTGAAAAGAACTGCTTCAGCAATTGGAGCCTGCTTTATCAGCCCAATACAAATAAGAGTATTGGTGACGGTAATAATCCAAACATGGAACAGGATAACAATAGTGACAGTGAAGATATTAGTGAAGAAAAATGATATTAAGCTTAATAAAAAAAATACTGACATCAAGTTTTACACGAAGGCTAACAGAATCCACATGTCATATAATAATCAGTTACAACGAATTGAAGGTCGTTATAATTAATAAGTGATTAACACAATAATAATCCAGGTGTACATTTGCCACTTGCAACTTACACTTAGGGTATTTGTCTGTTGTAATATAAACCTGGAATATGAGCCAATTTCCATTTATTTTAAATATTAACCATTTGTAAGGGTCTTAATCAGTCAGGCGCCTTACCTGTGTGGTCTGATGGCGTGGCGGAGGTGAAAAGTAGATGCTTCTCCATTCTGATTGGTTCTTGAGAGTTTGGGGGAGGAGTGTCCCCTTGTGGGTGTGTGGGCGGCCTTGACAACTTCTCTCTAAGGTTTTGTGTGTTTGAGAGGGAGGGAAGAGGCAGTTTAAGTATATGATGGTACAGGTTATAAAGATTAATAAATATTATACATAACAGTGCCAACTTAACTCCATTAAACCCCTAACGTCTTAGATGGATCTGCAGTGTATGTATGTATGTATGTATGTACTGTATGTATGTATGTATGTATGTATGTATGTATGTATGTATGTATGTATGTATGTATGTATGTATGTATGTATGTATGTAATAATAAAAATAAAATTAACGGTTTATTGAAAGTTCCAGCCCGAAGGCTGAAATATCTGACATAAATGACTTATACATACAGATGGTTCAACAAAAGCCTTATAGAGGTAAAGGAACATACAGTGAACATACAGATTAATGTAGGTGTTGAACAGCAAACACGTGGTGTAGTAGTTCCTCACAGATGGTGTTATGAGAGACTTGACGTGGTTTAGTACCCTCACAGATGGTGCTATGGGGGACCTCACGTGGTTTAGTAATTCTCCAGATGGTGCTATGGGGGACCTCACGTGGTGTAGTAATTCCCCACAGATGGTGCTATAGGGACCTCACGGTTTAGTACCCTCACAGATGGTGCTATGGGGGACCTCACGTGGTGGAGTAATTCCTTCCACAGATGGTGTTATGAGGGGCCTGACGTGGTGTAGTAATTCCTTTACAGATGGTGTATGAGGGACCTCACGTGGTTTAGTAATTCCCCAGATGTGCTATGGGGACCTCACGTGGTTTAGTAATTCCCAGATGGTGCTATGGGGACCTCACGTGGTGTAGTAATTCCCCACAGATGGTGCTATAGGGGACCTCACGTGGTTTAGTAATTCCTCACAGATGGTGCTATGGGGACCTCACGTGGTGGAGTAATTCCTTCACAGATGGTGTTATGAGGGCCTGACGTGGTGTAGTAATTCCTACAGATGGTGTATGGGGACCTCACTGGTTAGTAATTCCCCACAGATGGTGCTATGGGATCGGTGTAATTTTACAGATGGTGTTATGAGGACTCATGTGGTGTAGTAACTCCCTCACAGATGGTGTTACGAGGGGCATCACATGGTGTACGAATTCCCTCACAGATGGTGTTATGAGGGGCCTGACGTGATGTAGTAATTCCCTCATAGATGGTGTTATGAGGGACCTCACGTGGTGTAGTAATTCCCTCACAGATGGTGTTATGAGGGACCTCACTTGGTGTAGTAATTCCCTCACAGATGGTGTTATGAGGGATATGACTTGGTGTAGTAATTCCCTCACAGATGGTGTAATGAGGGACCTCACGTGGTGTAGTAATTCCCTCACAGATGGTGTTATATGAGTGAGGTGTGATCCCAGGCCTTCCTATCGTAGACGGATTAACACATCGCTGGTTGTTGTTGGGTCTCACGGGCCGTTATCACTGGGTACCTGAGACCTCATTGTGTGAAGGTTAACTTGGGTACGACCTTTGTTACAGTTGAGTTGTTCTCACTGACTTAAGCACTGTTCACCACTATTAACACTGGTTCCATTCCTTTCCTAAATAAAATTGTAACTTCTGGCGAGAACTTGTTGATATTCCGGGGAGGGAGTTGGTATGGGCCAACTTAACAGTTGACCTGGCTGCTCCCAGAGGAGCGCCAGGTACATCTTGACCCTTCGGTGGTCAAGGATATATGTATGTATGTATGTATGTATGTATGTTGCACCCAGTAAGGTCATCCTTTTGCGGTCGAAAACACAATCAAAATCACAGCTCAAAAAACTATACAACCTCTTATGGTCAATGTATGGAATGTCATGACCCTTCTGGATACTGACAAAAATGAGCGTCCTGAAAGAAGAACTACCCTTGTGGCAGAAGAACTGGCTAGGTATAACATCGACATAGCAACCATTAGTGAGTTCCGGCTCCCAGACGAGGGTCAACTCACAGAACTGGGGTCTGGCTACACCTTCTTCTGGAAGGGTAAGCCTGCTGCGGAGAGAAACCACATTTATGGAGTTGGCTTTGCCATCCGCCAACGCATCCTACACAGGTTAACTGAAATGTCTATTGGGATTAACGAGAGCCTCATGACGCTTCGAGTCCCACTAAATCACTCACGTCGTGTCTTCTTCATCAGTGCATACGCCCCAGCACTGGATGCAGAGGATGACATCAAGGAGGCCTTTTACGCCGACCTCGACAGAGTGATAACCTTTATCCCCAGAACAGATAAGGTTGTGCCTCTTGGTGACTTCAATTCCAGAGTTGGCAGAGATGCTGACATTTGGCAGGGAACCATAGGGAGAAATGGACTAAGCAAGTGTAATCCCAATGGCCTACTCCTCCTCAGCAAGTGTGCTAATACACAACTTCACTATCACCAATACCTTGGTGATAGCTTTTTGAAGTGAGGCAGATTGCATGAGTATGGAAACACAGAAGAAGGCAGAGCATTCCACAATTTGGCTGTGTGAGGAAAAAAGGGTGTACTATAATGGGTTATTCTAGTGTGACCGACATCCACAGAGAAACGATGGGTACACCTTGCCGGCGGGGGTGTTTGTGTTGAATGCTAATGGTTGTGGGAGCTCCGAGTTCGCTGTTCGCTGTGTCAAGATCACTTTTAGGCCCAGTAACGGATAACTAGTTGGGGCAGGAAGCGGAAAGTGATTACAAAGCTGCTGGATTGTTTTGGGAAACCTTCATTCGATGTCTCCTGTTGCTGGTGAGAGAGAAGCCTCTTTGTGCATATATTTTGTGTGTTTGTAACAATTATGTGGTTGTTGGCGCTAAGTAATGCGATGATGTTCAAATCCTGTACATGATACGAGTGTCGCCTTGGGGATCGGTGGTAGAAGCGGTACCGTTCTTGCCTCGCAAGCGAGATGTCACAGGTTCGATTCCCGGGCCGGTGGAAGTTGTTTGGTCTTACTTCCTAGCCCCCATTAGTCCCTGTTCACCTAGCAGTAAAGTAGGTACCTGTTGTAAGTCGAAAGTTGCAAATTCGTATTCAGGGACAAGTTGTTGGAGCTTCCAATAACTTGATGACATAAACCACTGACTCTTCAGGCTTCTAAGCCCTTAACTCATGAGACATAAAGGCAAGCATGAACTTAGCATGCTTCCCTGTTGGGCGCTGCAAACGCTTCTGCGCTTCACCTTACACAAGGATGTAGGGGGCCCAATAAAAAAAATAAAAAAAAACGAGTGTCGCTATGTGTTTATGTGTGTGTGTGTGTGTGTGTGTGTGTGTGTGTGAAGGGAGAAATAATTTTTTTCAGTAAATCTGCCTAAATGTCTCTTATATTTCCTTATCAGATACAAAATAATAGATCGTTGTTCAATCTGTATGACACTATAGATTTGATAAATCTGTACTGATAACTCTAGTGGATTTATAGTAATTTATCCCACCCCAGATAAATCCTTTAGTCCCACCCCAGATAAATCCTTTAGTCTCATCCCAGATAAATCCGTGTCAATTTTCCTGTTATGTACTTCATCTTTATCCCAACTCACTATCCCTCCACTCTCCCCAACCCCTCTGACATCCCTCCTCTCTTCCCCCCCCTTCCCTTACAACCGGGTTACTGTTCCACTCTATCCTCTGGGTCACTCTGTCCCTTTCCACCAACTTTCTCTCCCATCTTATTCATGCTTTCACCTACAGTAGGGCTCCAAGTATGACCTCAGTCCTCTCCTTCCTCTGTCCCTCAATCTTCTACCGCCTCATTCTCCCATCACTCTGAGCTTGGTCCCGATGAGATATTTGCCAGAGTATTAAAGGAATGTAAGACAGAGCTTAGTATGCCCTTAGCAAAGTTGTTTAACATGTCCTTAAAAACAGGTGTAGTACCAGAATCCTGGAGGATAGCGAATGTAATACCGATTTTCAAGAAGGGGGATCGATCACTACCCTCTAACTACCGCCCAATCAGTCTAACATCAATAGTAGGCAAATTACTGGAAGCAATCATTTCAAACTCTATTCGAAATCACATGGAGAAGCACAGATTGATCAATGATTCCCCGCATGGCTTCACAAGCGGACGTTCATGTCTAACTAATCTATTAACATTCTTTTCATCAGTTTTAGAATCGGTGGACGAGGGCACAATTATGATGTGGTATATCTCGACTTTAGCAAAGCCTCGACAGAGTCCCCACGAAAGACTAATTAGAAAGGTAGAAGCTCATGGCATCGTAATATCCTTAAATGGATTAGGCGTGGTTACAGGACAGGAAACAGCGAGTGAGCATTAATGGCACTAAGTCCCATTGGCAACGTCATGGAGTTCCCCAAGGCTCAGTACTTGACCATTATTATTTATTATATACATAAACGACATAGATATCGGCATAGACAGCAACATAAGCAAATTTGCTGATGACACTAAAATAGGACGATATTAAATCTGACGAGGACTCAGCAAAACTACAGGAAGATCTAAACAAATTTTTCGAATGGTCAAAAATGGTAGATGAAATTCAACGTGGACAAATGTAAAGTACTCAGTATAGGAGATGTAAACAGGAAACCCCAGATGAACAACGATGCCATAGGAAACCGACTGGGAGATTCAGGAGTAATGAAGTAAGAACATTGCCAAACATTGTGTTTTTACTCGGAACAAGGCTAATAAAGTACTTGGGATCATACAAAGGAGTGTTAGTTACAAGACTAGCGAGGTCATCCTAAAACTGTATCTTGCTCTTGTGAGACCTCACATGGATTACTCAGTTCAGTTCTGGTCACCGTGATACAGAATGGATATAGAATCTTGAAAGAATTCAGAGGAGAATGACAAGACAAATCCCGCATTAGGAACCTTGAGTATAGAGACAGGTTAAGCATCTTAATTTGCACTCCCTCGAGAGACGAGAGCGAGAGGGCGACCTGATAGAGGTGTTTAAGTGGAAGGCAGGGCTAAACAAAGGGGCATTACAGCGTACTCAAACTATCCAACCAGGAGCGAACTCGTAATAATGGTTTTAAATTAGACAAATTTAGATTTCGCCGTGAAATAGGTGAACACTGGTTTGGAACAGAGTAGTATGAATGGAACAAGTTACCAATATCATCATTAACTCGAATACGCTGAATAGCTTCAAACATAGGTTGGATGCTTATATGAGCAATAGGGGTTGGGTGTAAACGGGACTGCCCAGTATGGGCCAATAGGCTCGTTGCAGTTTCCTCCATTCTTATGTTCTTATGTTCTTATCTCCTCTCTCCCCGTCACACACTCCTCCATTCTCACTGCTGGGCTATTCTCCCTCTCCCATTCCCTTTCACCCCGTCCATCCCCCTCCTTTTTACCTTTCTTTTTCTTTTCCTCACTTCCTCCCCTTCCTCCTCCCTGACTCTCCCTCGCCTACCTCTCACCTTTGAATCATTCGATGGCGGTCAGCCTGAACCAGGAATTCTCTCGTGTGTGATGTCACATCTCGTTCGTCCAACAATTCTGTAATAAATTGGAAATATACGAGACGCTTGGAAGAATAGTAGATATATTAGTATTATTGTGGCATCTATGTTCCATTAATACCTTTAAAATTTACTATTTAATTATTAGCCAATATATTTATTCACCAATACCCAATCAATATCTTATCATTTGGAAGTTTTTCACATATACTCATGATGGAGGATTTTGCTAAACTTACCCGTCAGTGACATTGAAGCTTCGAGGATTGAGTCTGAACAGTCAAAATTAGTCTCTTTGCTTAGCAACAAATGACGCTCATTTCTGTGTACACTGTCATTTCTCGATGCTGGGAAAGTTAGTCACTCAGCAGTACGATCAAGTGTGATTACATAATAATTTGTTTATTCCTCAGTGCGTGATTGTTCATAATCTGTATATTATTTTTCATTCGTCCTTTACTAGAGTTCACTGACGGATCCAGAGGGAGCGAGGAAGGGGGTTACATGGTAGGGTGGGTGGCTGGGTGCCTTCCTTACCAGCGCTCAGTATTTCAAATACTAATGTAGATTTGCTTATTGTATATTGTGTAACCAGTTATTAATAGTCATTAAATGCAGGTGTAAATACATGGTATCGGCGAGAGTGCAGGCGCATGGGGATCATCTTAGTACGTACTCATTGGGAACATCTTCAGTACATACCCAAGAAGATCATATTATGTACTCAAGAGGAATATTTTATGTACTCTAAGGGAACTTCTTACATTATCATGAGGTATGTACACTCGGAAACCATATTCTCTATTCCACCTGGGTCGGTGCTGGAGGTTAGTACAGCGTCCTTTCTGGACAGGCCCTCTAATCTGACAACAGGCAACATTAATGCACTGCTAACACACACAGTCATGAAGTACATTTTATAGGATAGATATTATGCATAAAATGTATATGGCATTTTATAATTTATCATTATCTTCATTATATATGAACACAAAGTTATCAAATTACCATAGGTTTTAGTTACGAAAGTATGAATGGAAAAATAAACATTTCCAAACCACCCAGTGAATCCACACAACGTTTACAGTGCTTGGGGCCAGACCAATGCATGATTCCACCACACCCATCTATATCTTTTATTTTCCCATCATTCATGTAATCATATATGAAATCGTGTTTAATTTAACTACATATTTCAAAACCTTAAATTGCGGACCCAGCCTACTCATTTTGACACGCATCATATAGTGTGTCACTTGACCATCCCACCTGGGCACATGGAGGCCCACAGTAACTCCTATGGGGCAACATCCTTGCATCATTGAGTAAGAGTTAAATATATATATATATATATATATATATATATATATATATATATATATATATATATATATATATATATATATATATATATACTTTCCCTCACCCTAGCAAACTAGTTAGCATAGCATAACCAAACAGCCTCGCAAGGACCAATAGGTCTGTATATAATGTGTGTGTACGCGCTAAAATGACCTAGTATATTTTACTAATATCTCATTGTCCATGGATTTTCTTACAGTTTGGCTGTGAGTTTAATATTTTGTCTACCTGCCAGTTCAACAAGACTGCTAACCATCCTCCCAGCAACTCATATGCCATCCCAGACCCACAGCCTATATGTATGGTGCAAGACCGCAGTCCAATACATACAAGTCAGGCAGTCAAGCGTTGATTTGAGGCGCACCCGCAGATTATTCTAATGGACTGGCCCCCTAAAGGAGCCGATTGTAATCCAATAGAAAATCTATGGGCGCATATGGTAGTTGAATAGGATGTTGAGGAGAAAACGAGTGAGACAGTGAGGACACACGCACATAATGTGTGGGAGGGAATAAGGAGGAGGCCAAACATCTGCAGCAATGTGGTAGATTCCATGCCCACCAGATTGTATGAAGTTATAGCAGCAGATGGAGGTTGGACACGGTATTAACCTGTGGTCAAGAACTAAATCTCCGCCCACGACGGTGCCTTGTAGGGGGTGGCGGGGGAGTTAGCTCTCTGGTGTAACCTCGTTGGGGCCACATAGACTTCGTTTCCTAACTCTCGGGAATTTATCCAGGTATTTTACTATGTGGTTTTACGTCACTTCACATAAATAAACTTACAAAATCTATGCATTAATATGCATAACTCTTAGGAATCTGTCCAGACGTTAAATATATGTTATATACTACAATAATCACATGGATATGTTTACAATGTTTATGCATAATAAATTTGAAAAATATTTTTGGGGATTCAATTAACCAATAGTCATGCCTACAAAACAATCTTGATGCTCCAAGTGCATGTATGTGTTGAATAACGAGTAACTGATCCACATTATTTTGGTAAATAAAGAAATGAAAAGCAAACACTTAGCCATATGGATATAGTTACACGGAAGAAGGGAAATAAGGATGAACCATGGTTTTGATGGAAACAATGTGATCTGGGACGATGCTCACAATGACGAATGGGAGAAACCTCTTTATGAAACATCTTACCTACTAAGGATGAAGCTTAATGTTACAGAACACACACACACACACAGTGTAACTTTGTGTGACGCGTTGTCTGACGTGGGGTGGCTTTGAGCGAACCATACACTTGATATTACAATTTATGTATCCTTCCTGTCCATGATTTACAACAATAACTGTAAGGTAAAAGTTACAATATTATACTAATATCACTGTCATGTATTGATACAGAGCACGATGAATATAACATGATAATGATAGTGAAGTCTGGAAGGGTTCATATCATAACTTGTGTGTTCGTGTGCATGTTGCCCCATGAGAGTTACCGTGGGCCTCCATGTGCCCAGGTGGGATGGTCAAAGTATTACACTATAAGTGTGTCAAATGAGGAGTGACTGATTCACATGTAATTTAGGGTTTTTGAATATGTAGTTAAATTACACGGGATTTTTCATATAGTTACACGAATGATGGGAAGCATCGTGGTCTGGCACACACACACACACACACACATTGTGTGGAGTCACTGGGTGGTTTGGAAGTGTTTATTTCCATTCATGCTTTCGTAACTACAACCTATGGTATTTTTTCTTCGTGTTCATATATATATAATGAAGATAATGCAATATATATACATAATGTCATCTATACAGCCGTACTATGACTGCGTGTATTCGTGCGTGTGTTGCCTCGTGATAGTTAGAGTGGGCCCCCATCCAGAAAGGACACTGTTCGAACCTCCAGCACCTACCCAGGTGGGCTAGAGATTATGGTTTCCGAGTGTACAAGTTAGGTACTCATGAAAGTATTCATCAGACAAGGGGCTAACCTAACCTAACCTACCTAGGGTGGGCGACGCGGCGAGGATGAGAGCTGGGCGGTAGCGTCTGTAGGTGGTGACGGGGTTGCCGACCAGGTGGGCTTCACGCAGGTGACCCAGGCGACCCAGCACGGACGTCACGTGACTCAGTGAGCAGAGGTCATTGTCCCCCACCTGCAGCACCTGTTAAATTTCATTCACTTGTCACCTCATTTATCTTTACCTTCTTCTTATTTCTACTTAACTATGACTATTGTTAGGAATATAACATAAAATACCCACTGAAAAAATTGTCAGTTTCGACATTTCTACTTAAGTTCAAGAACGAAGCAAGAAATTCAGGGACAATGTTTTTAGTTTGCCATCCTTGACATGGGTAACCACCTCAACCTAATTTAACCAAACCTAATCGAACTTACCCTAACTTTACCTAGTCTTACCCTTCTAATTGAACCTAACTCAATTAAACCCAACCCAACCTGACCTAACCTAACAACGTAACCTAACCCAACCTAACGGTATTTTGAAGATAGGAAATCTTTCTGAAAAATTTTCAGAATTGTACAGAAAATTTGTCACAACTTTTCAGAATATTTCTCAAAACTTTTCTGGCATTTTTTATAAAATTCTGAGTAATTTTTAGAAAAAAAATAAAAAATTAAAAAGAGACAAATCAGAAAATAAACACCGAGACTTAATGGTGTTCCGAGGATGTGAAATTTTAGTTCCAAAATACAGGTTCCTCAAACGACTATTTTCTGGGCGCATTTCCTGGAAAACGATAAGTTAACATAAGAACATGAGAAAGGAGGAAATTGCAGCGGGCGTATTGGCCCATACTGGGCAGTCCCATTTACACCCAACCTCTATCACTCGTATATCCATCCAACCCATGTTTGAAGCTATCCAGCGCATTCGAGTTAATGATAATATTTGGTAACTTGTTCCACTCGTCCACTACTCTATTTCCAAATCAATGTTTACCTATTTCGCGCCTAAATCTAAATTTTTCTAATTTAAAACCATTGTTACGATGGATGGAAATTTTTAGGCCCAACATTCGTATTCCCCAAAAGACTGTTTTCCCAGCGCAAATCCCAGAAAACTGTGTTTTGTGCGTTAAAATGTTTCAGAAAATTTGTCAGAAGTTTTCAGAACTCTTTCATATCTTTTTTTAGAAATGAAAACCATATGAATACATTAGGCCGTGACCCAGTAAAGATATGTGGCCGAATAATTAAGGCAGGATCATAGTTACGGCAGTCTCTACGTAATATAGAAAATATATTCTGTAGAAAGACCGTCACAGACTATACTTCACCCTTTCAGTTCACAGAGAGAGGAGGACTTTAGTCCATTTGTGTCAGTGTGTATAAAACTGGATCAAGGTTGAACCCCGTGACCAGTGATGAAGAACAGATACTAGAAAAGCAGCTCGACCCAGAATCAAGTCAACAATAAAGGACTTCTAATTTTACACACACACACACACGGATGATAATAATAGTGAATAAACATGGTGCTGAGACAGTGAGCCTTTACGACCTACCAGAAGGGAGGTACCTGTGAGAACCACTCCACCAGCAAGTAAGGTCTATAGTCACTTGTTTCCCCAACACCACTCCACCAGTCAGGAAGTTTACCACATGTTTCCTTCACAACACCACCAGCGAGGCAGGCCTATAACTACGTATTTCCTCTACAACAACAAATTATAAGTGATTCATACATAACCTGATGTTAACTCAATGTATTTTTTGTATTGGAAGCTTTTGTTAAATATTCCACTCTTATTACTGTAAGTAAATTTTTGTCCATTGTATATTTTCAGCCACTGGTTGCTAAGGCCCAGGATTAATCGTGTGGTCCTACTATGTATGTTTTTCTAGGGATTCGACATCTCTCTCCCTCTCTCTCTGAACGTGTTATGAGCAGCGAAAATTCCTTTCATTCGCTTCTTGATATGACGTCACTGATGCACAATGGTGGGTGTAACTTTTCTCTTCAATTGCGTATGGTGCTATCATGAGAGCAATGTCCGAGTTGTCCCGGAAAGAAAATCACAGAGAGACAGACCGAGACATTCAAACAGAAGAACAGATTTTTATGGACTTTGCGATTAAGGTATTTATTGACCGAGAGATTGAAAGACTTACTGACTAAACTAATTGATTGCTTGATTGCGTGAGTTAGTGGACGAGGGCAAGTGTGAGCGAGTGTCTGCCTATCTATCAATGAGTGGCAAATATCATTAAATTACAGTAAAATTAAACCCTAATATAATAAACTCTGACGACAGATAAACACTGGACGTCAGTGTTCCGGCATAATAGTCAACATGGCTGGGGATGAACGCTACCACTCTCCCCAAATAATACAGTATACACAAGCTTACAGGATTAACCTCTAACTAATACTGTATAATAATTGTATTGACTAACAGCCTTACATGATCAATATTTTTTATACAGAAAAAAAATCTGCTTGGTTAGTAATAATACTTTTGTTCATGGTAACATAGGTTTATCATTACAATGTGTCACATTAACTGGTTGAGCAAATGACTTTGCCCTGGGAGAAGGAAAGCATAGAAACGGGGGTTTGGCGGAGCATGCTGTATATTATGTTTGTGTCTTGATGAGGTAATATTTAACACGAAGAGCCATTGGTCTCATATCTATATACTGTATATATATATATATATATATATATATATATATATATATATATATATATATATATATATATATATATATATATATATATATATATATATATATATATATATATACTGATAACCACAAGGAAAGAAGAAACACGAAGATTTAAAGATTAGTAGGGTCATTACCTAATACCTGACCATTGTGGACCTGGTCTCACCCTCCTCTGTATATATACACCTTGATTTGTATTTCTCTCTCTAGTCTGTACTCACCCCTGAAGATGTGAATTACACGAAAGCGCTTGGGAACTTCGTGTTTTCTTCTTTCCTTGTGGTTATCAGCATATACCTAGATCACGCGCACCTACAGTGATTTACTTGCATATATATATATATATATATATATATATATATATATATATATATATATATATATATATATATATATATATATCATGTAAATCCACAATGAAAACGTGGATAAGATAAATCTTGATAAAATCACACGGGAAAATGGAAACAACGGAGCACCTTAGCTTTCGTCTTTATTCAAGACATCTTCAGAGGCAACTGGATTACATGGACAGAGAGAGGCTTAAATATACAGGGTGACCTTAAAAACATGAGGTCAGGTCATAATGATGTCATCCACTAATCCCCACACCAACACACACGTAGAGGAGCTTAAGAGAAGGGGGGTGACGTGACTAGTCAGGTCAGGTCAAAAATAAGGGACCCACAAAATAACTATCATACATCTAGATCAAAGGTTTTCAAAGCATTTTTAACCTTGGGCCACTGACAAATAAATTTATGTAACATATTATCAGTTTTGAACTGACCATCACTAAGGTTTATTGATTTTAATTCCTTAATCAAACTAGCTTCAACCAGAAGTCTTTCTGTGACACAAGATGATTTAAATACTTCTAAGCTTTTTTCCCAAGCAATGGGGTGATTATTATTCCTAACATGAACGAACAAGGCACTGCTTTCAGATGCTGTTCTGATATTATACTTATGTTGTTTGATTCTGAGCTGCAGTGTTTTTCCTGTCTGTCCTACATAATTACAATTACATTTGCTACATGGAATACAATAAACACTTCCATTTACATTCAAACTTGGGCTATTCCTTATTAACATATTGGTAATGGTTGAGTCATACTTGAAAACAACATTAATATTTAGAAGCTTGAGGGACCGAACTAACGGGACAAATTCATTACGATAGGGCAGAGTCAAAATATTCTTAAGTGTAGGAACTTGTCTGGTTTGAGAGGAATGAAAGGATTTTTAGCCCTTTTAAAACAACGATCAACAAACACAGAAGGGTACCCGAGTTTCTGTGCAATAGAACGAATGTGTTTCAATTCATCGTCAATAAATTCAGAGTCACAAATACGCAGACATCTTAAGAACATAGCAGAAAAAACTGACATTTTGGTAGACTCCAGGTGATTCGATAAAAAGTGAATGAAACTGTCTACCTGTGTGGGCTTTCTATATACCATAAATTTATAGTTTTGGCCATTTCTCATGATAAGCATATCAAGGAATGGAAGGGATCCATTTGTTTCTCTTTCAATTTTGAAAGGTCACCCTGCATATTTAAGCCTCTCTCTGTCCATGTAATCCAGTTGCCTCTGAAGATGTCTTGAATAAAGACGAAAGCTAAGGTACTCCGTTGTTTCCATTTTCCCGTGTGATTTTATCAAGATATATATATATATATATATATATATATATATATATATATATATATATATATATATATATATTTTATATATATATATTTATATATATATATATATATATATATATATATATATATATATATATATATATATATATATATATATATATATATATATATATATATATATATATATATATATATATATATATATATATATATATATATATATATATATATATATATATATATATATATATATATATATATATATATAAATATATATATATATAAAATATATATATATATATATATATATATATATATATATATATATTTAATTACCAGTGAAAACATTAAAAAATTTGAAACGTAGAACATTTAAAATTTACTTAATCCTTTGCGGACAACGAATAAATGTTTAACTTAAAATGAAATATCTTAACATTTTAAGTACTTTATAATTTACACTAAAAATTATATTTAGTAATCTTAAAAAAAACAGTAACATAGACCAATATATAATGTTTGGGTTTAAGTCTCCAGCAGAAGATGACTTTTCATCACGAGAGGACCAAACGCCTCTTGATGACGCCATTAACGTTACGCGGATGCACAACCACTAGTATTAATCTTCACAAACAAACACAAGAAAAATGCGAAAAGTAATGCCGCGCTCCTTCGGTCATGTACTGTACTGGTGGTTGAACAACAAAGAAATTTATACAAAATCAAACATTAATGGGATTCGTTAAATATGTTAAACAAGGAAAAATCCTTGGCATTGACAATCAGAACTAAAGAGCTTACTTATCTCCACTTATAAATAGCCCATATCCCGTGACTCACCAGAAGTTGGATAGACACATGGAAGTGCTGATGGGTGTGAAAGGATCTGCCCTGTATGGGCCAGTCGGCCTCCTGCAGTATCCCACTTTCTTATGTTCTTATGTATCCCGTGACCCACCCGTAGACCAGCCCCTGACTCATCCGTACACGCACCCAGCCCCTGACTCACCCATAGACGCACCCAGCCCCTGACTCACCCGTAGACGCACCCAGCCCCTGACTCACCTGTAGACGAGTCAGTAGACCCACAGCACCCAGCTCTGTTAGTCTGTTGCCACTCACGTCCAGCACTCGCAGCGTTTCCTGTGGTGGCGGTATAGGTATTAATTCTTGCCGAAGTGAATCATTAATATCAGTTCAAATGTAATAGTTTTGTACAGCAGTGGGGCTATAATATGGAAAAAATAATTCACTTAACATTCTATATTATTGTTTTAATAATTCAATTTACATTTATGTATTTGAGGATTTAGTTTTGTAATCTGAATAAATTTAGTTATATCTTAATATTTAATTTTTATTTTCCTGTTAATTCGGGACAATATTATGATATGAGCCGATGGTAAACTTAATAAAAAAGGCCATTATAACCCATAACGAGGCTAGTTCACAAGAGAGGGAGGGAGAAGAGGAGAACAAGATCGAACAAAAACCAGATTCGGTAGGTAAGCTGTGTCTGTCACGTAGGTAAGCTGTGTCCGTCACGTAGGTAAGCTGTGTCCGTCACGTAGGTAAGCTGTGTCTGTCACGTACCTTAGTTACTGTCGCCCAGGCTCATGATCGACGTGGAAAGCAGCTTAAACCTTCTTGATTTTTTTTTTACTTTATGAAATCTATACTGAAAACTATCGATAAAATATGACATAATATGACCAAAGGAAAGACTTGTTTTATGGTTTGGATGGTATTGGGGATTACTGGCCTCTTCGCCGTTAGCTATTTCGACCGAAGCTGATTGGCTTCCTTTCTTGTTTCTTCTTTGCTTTTCAGTTTCCATTCTTCTTCCTGGTCTTCTTCTGAATATTCTCACACTTCTATAAACGATTAAAGATAGTGTAATGAAATCGGTTTAATTGTTGTGATCTTGTTCTGGTCTTGCTTGTTTTTTCTTGATTTTTCACTACAAGGAGGGCCTCCTTGTAGCTCAGTCTTTCCTGTCCGCAGCTTGGCCACTCCTGCACTCCTCCCTCCACTTGGGACACTCCCGGTCGGAGGAGGAGTGAGGGCCACACAAGCTGCGCATTCTGGCGGCCGCCAAGCAGTTGGCGTCCTGGTGCCCGGGTGTCCCGCACTTGAACACACCTCCCGAGCACGACACTTCCGCGCCAGGTGGCCGTACTGGCATTTGTAGCAACGAGTGGGTCTGCTGGTACGGTTTTACTGGGATCTTCTCCCATCCCAGCAAAACGGAGCTAGGAGTTTCTTTGGGAAGCCAACCAGGCAGCTGTCCTGGTCAGCTTCCGAACTATTGAGAGCTGATTCCGATCAGCTCGGCAAGTTCTTCTTTTCGAGATGTTCGATTTCTGTGTGGAGATGATCTCAAAACCAAGTTGTCCTGTAGGCAGGCTTCAACTTGGATCTCGATTCCATTGATTTGTCTTATGTTTTCTAATTGCTGGGCCTTCCCCATTCCGCGAAGGTGACGATAAGGTCACCGCTGTCACCGGACGACCCCTGTCACCCCGTGATTCCCGAGAGTCAAAAACTCTCAGGACAAGGAGGTTGAGTTGCTTGCGCGAAGGGCGCTTGACTGGATAAGTCTAACGACCTTCACCTGGCTGCAGGTGAACATGGTCACGCGGTACTGGGAGCAGAGAGAACTACCTTGCCGAGGTTCAGTTCTCGTGTTTATGGTTTTGGGGTCAGAGAGTTTTATATAAATCTGTTCTCTTGCTGCCTCATGTTGCCAGTCATCCTGGACATATTTCATTGTACAGTGATATTGTATAGCATTTGAATAATAATTTTTTTGTCATTTCCCTTTAACCTGAATATAAAAAAGATTAGAAACAAAAGGAAAATTTTGTTTAGAAATGTTATGACAGAGGAACTTTAAATAAAGACAAATCAAGTTGTGAACGCATCTTCCTTTTTATGTTAAGTGAAAAAACAGACTTTTGATTTATATAATATATATAATTAATTTTTATTGTCGTGCTAAGATCCTTGTGTGTAACATGGCACGTAATGGTTCCGACGTCTGCATTGACACAGGAGTAATTATTGAAGTCATTATAAATTTCTCCCAATTATTAATAGTGTTTACCCGGGTATCTACCATATATTGCCGACTTTGTATCATGCCAAAAGTTTGTATATAACATAACAAATGTGACAATTGTACTAAACTGCATAAGAAAAAACGTGATTTTTTTTTTCAACGCAGTTTCTCCGTCACGGAGCTCTGGAACTTTCTACAGTTACTGATAGTTCACTGTAGTTGTGACAAGCTTTATTATATCATGGTCACGTGGTGGTAACTTCCTGGTGGCTAGAACATCAATTTGAACCATTTTATCACTTTAAACAATAATAATAATGTCCAGGAAGGAAGAGGTTTATGTGCCACCATCCTACCTGGCCCGTCCTCCACTCACTCAACCTCTGATTATTATTGTGCGTTTGCTGTTATTGTCACAGATACATTTAATGCAATTGTTATTAATGGTTTACTTGTTGCTATTGTAACTGATTGTTTTGATGCTGTTTATAATGAGAGTTTTCGTGTTATTGTTTTTTTGCTGTTTTTCTTGTTTTTATACGGTAATTTTTCATGAGATCTTCCCTTTGTTGTTGTTATATGAACATTGTTTTAATTTTCATGATATTTAAAAATTTTAAGTCGGTCAAGAGGACGATTTTCTCTTCTGTTGTGTGTGTGTGTGTGTGTGGTGTGTGTGAGTGGGGAGGCTAACGGCCATATTATTATCAAACAACATCTACCCCTTCTGACGAAGAATCTTTTCGAAGGTATTGTTCCTTCAAGCGGTATTTTTAAATGATCGAACCTCTTTCACTTCGTGCGGGATGATTTTTTTAGGTCTGGTAATACTGTCCTCTTCGCTGATGCATTATGGGTCCTGTGTGTGTTTCTTTACCTTCGTTGGCGCCAAATTTAGTATTGTAGCAGCTCTCGTCATGGATATTTTTTCCTCCATAGTGTCCCGGGATTTCTTAGTTTATTTGATTGGGGAGGAGAAAATTTTGCAAAATAAAAGTACTTGTGGGAAGCTTGTTACATTAAAGAAACAAGCATGGTTACGAATTGCATCATGTTTAAATGCTGAGGGATATGGACCTCGGCGATCAGAAGAACAGTTGAAGAAGATTTGGGAACGCATTAAAATAAAGTAAGTAAAAAAAACTATATGTTTATATATATATATATATATATATATATATATATATATATATATATATATATATATATATATATATATATATATATATATATATTTTTTTTTTTTTTATTGTAGCTTAGTAGGTTAGATTAAAGAGGGTGCAGATGACTATAATTTCTGAGACAACTAACTTAATTCAGTTATATGGGAGGTAGAGACTTCTAATTTGGCGTGGGCGAACTTACTATTACTGAGACGGGGGAAGCTGCTGTGAAGTCCTCTATATTAGCCAAAATATTGTACCATATATGCTTCAGGCACATTTTCATTAAATAATCAAACTCCAGCTTCCAGTGAACTTGTTTTGTTATGCACCTAATTCAGCCAAATGGAAGTTTACCAAAACGAAATAATGTAATTGGTGATGGGAAATTAAAGCCTGCAGTATTTCACATATTATATCATGATCCACTGTATGAAAGGTGTTTTTGTATGGAATATTACCATCCTTGTGATAATGCCCTACCAGTGAAATTTGCCTCAACCCATTTTGATATTTCTAGGCATAAACCTCCCCTGTTTTTATTTTCCAGATAAAAACTCACTTATAAAACTGCTAAAAAGTTGCATTAAATAACTTAAATGGACTTAATTTATTAATATATGCAACATAAAGTTTTGAGATGATTTTCTCCCAGTGAAATTTGCCTCTATCCATTGGAATATTTCTAGGCAAGAACGTCACTAGTTTATATTTTCCTGACAGAAACTCACTTATAAAACTGCTAAAAAGCTTAATAAATTACCGTAAATGTGCTTACCAGATTAATATTAGCGTTAGTAAGATGGGATGACTCCAGCAGCTTGCCTTTGGCAATAACAAATTGACAGGCAGCACAGCTTTTACGAAAGGCGTAATATGACAGGGGACACAGCTTTTGCACTGTCATAAAATGGGCCGTAAAACCAATAATGTAAAAAAATACAATTGTAAAATTACCAATACGTGTTTCTTTGTACGTTAATGTATTGATAATAAATATTCAATAAAACTAACAAAATAATTATGAGGAGGGTGACGAAAAGCAGCTCATAGCCACCTCTTCAAAGTTAGGTGCAATTAGTTCGTTTCCATGCCACCACACTCTTTCGTGAGCTGCACTAAAAGGTTCTTCGCATTTAAAAATACGACTTTCGACATGAAGATATTCTTCAAGGGGAGATGTTGTTTAATAATATGGCCGTTAGTGCAAAGAAACAGGATTACCAAAGTCATACCTAAGCAGCTCAGGATATGCGACATCACGATCATGAACACACAAACAGATTTCCCAACAACACGAAACCAGTTTTCTTTTTTAACGTAATATCACAATGTAGCGACAGTTTTCATAGGAATTCGCGTCACATACAACAGACAAGATGGTATGAAAGGCAGGTGTTCCCCCACCTCCGTTATTACTTGAACCGGAAAAACCGAAATTGTAGGTGAAATTGACCCTAAGGCGAGGTAATTACTATATGGCCTATAAAAATGGCCTGAAAAATGGCAAATGAAATTCAACACCAGCAAGTGCAGCGTACTTAATATTGGAAGAACAAATACTGATTATGTATACAGCCTTAACAACATCAACCTAGAGAAGTCGACTTGTGAAAGAGACCTAGGGGTACTTGTAAGCCCGGACCTACGGCCTAGAAAACAGTGCGTTAATGTTCGAAATAAGGCAAACAGAGTATTGGGTCTTATATCTAGAAGTGTAAGTAACAAGAGTGCAGAGGTCTTATTGCAACTATACCTTGCGCTAGTCAGGCCGCACCTCGATTATGCGGTTCAGTTCTGGTGCCCCTATTATAGAATGGATATAAATTCACTAGAGTCGGTGCAGCGAAGAATGACAAAAATGATTCCGGACTTAGAAACCTTCCATATCAGGATAGGTTAAAGAAACTTAATTTGCA